CTTCAGATAAGATCACTCGTCGGAAACTCAACCAGGAAACCAGGGAAGTCCGCCAACTTACCATGGAACTTTGTGGAGCGAGACACGTCCTCGGAGGATTTTCCCGCAACTTCCCCTCAAAACTCTCTCCCCCCTCTGGTACGACCTTCCCACTCTTTCCCCAGACTGCGGGAAGGTAGCGATCAAGTGGCTCACTTGAACATGGCGTAGGACATGCTTATCGCGGAATATTTCTATGTGAGACGACTTTCATCTTATATTGCGCTGGACAGAAACTTCTCAATGCAGAGACACCTAAGTCCGGGATATCGAGTGTACTAGCATCCACCTGAATTCCCTAGCTTCCCCGAAGTTTTTCGCGGTCTTTCTTCTTTTCAGTCAACTACATAACCTTTAAGAATCCTCCCTCTCCCCCCACCCCTCACAAACGCAAAGGAAAACAACCGACAACCGAGTGCGGTGGGGTGGGGTGGGGGGGGGGGTCGGAGGCAGTATACAGCGCATCTGGAACAGGAAAAACCGAGCGAAGTCAAGAAGGAAATTATTCCCCCCAAAGGCAGGTACCCCTCCCTCCAGCGACCGAATACAACCCCCTCGCTCAAGATCTTCAGTGTTCGACGGGCGCACGACATGCCTTTCTTGATACTTCAATAGTGATGGATCAAACGGCATTACACCCCAAGCGCTCCAATGACAATGCTACCGTAATGCTGCAGTGAACCTGGAGCACCTTCTTGGCGCTGGAGCATGGAATCTTTCAGCAGCTTTTTCAATTTACCTGAGAGTGATCGCGGGAGTTCATTATTGAAAAATGCTGCAGTTTAGTTTCTTGTAATTTCGATAACCATTGCAGTCGATTTCTAGGAATTTCAGATGCTGTTATTGACGTTACTCTTTGGCAAGCTGACCCTCACGAACCTTTTGGTGTTTGGTGTAACAATTACAGCATTAGCATTCAGTAGTCTTTTTCTGTAAGTCATTCATTATTCAAGTTGTCGTTGTTGTTTAGTACAAAGATGTATTTCAGTTTATCAAGTCTCACTTCATGGCCGAAACGAAAACGAAAAGATTTCCTTGTTCCAGTGAATTCATACGATGGTAAAGGCGAAGGGGAAGTGTCAGTTTTTACATCATTTCTATATGCCAGTATCTTCTGGCTACCGGCTATTTTTCTAATGTCTACCCTGTTTTAGGTTACCGAATCTTCTCCGTGATGATTCCCACGCAAGACCGCTCTTTACGGAATCGACTGTTTACCTGTCAGTCATAGTGCCAGCTATGAATGAAGAGGTTGGACAAATGGATTTGTTTCCACATTTTTTTCGTGAACAGTTTTGAATAGGGGAAGTAAAAACTAAAGCTAACACCACTGGGATGGACAAAACTGAACCCACGACTCTCCACTACGGGCTCCTCAGCACTATGGCAGTAATGATGGAATTCATCGTTCGAACATTCTGACCGCGGGCTAGTAAAAATCTCATCATTTATTTTTCGACTCAACTCGTTCTCTTTGAAGACTGTTAGCTGACAAATGGGCGCAGTTCGACGACGGGGGGGGAGGGCAGTTTGCACTTTTGCTGCTTTCCTTGGTCGTGTTCATTGCTTTGCAAGGGCTGACATCAACGGTTTACAAGAGCTGGGAGTTCCTACAAACCACCATTTACCATTTCACCATTTCATGGTTCCACATGGTTTCACAAATCTCGACTTGATCCCCACACAACAGTGAGTAGTAGGAAGCAGCAAAATGCTCCCCATTCATCCCCCCCCCCACTACGTTGACGAACTGCGCCGATAACTGTTATTGATACAGCTGCTTTGTGCTTTGAGATTGTGTATTGAACATCTATTAAAATGTTCTACAGTTCCGGCAGCTAATAAGAGAACGCGAGCAACCCCCCTACCCCATAGAACTCCACTGTACAAAAACTCAGGCATATCGATAATTTTCAGTCACAAATATGGAAATCGGAATTGCTATCTGAACCTCCCAAGCAAGTCATAGGCGGCCAAAGCCGCCGTTTCCGCTGAGAAATTGTCCTATCAACGCGACCGCTTCTTCCGATCTTTGGCGTTTTCGTGATAGCGGATACGTTGTTCGTGTCCAGGGAATTAAACTAGATGATGGAATTTGCTTTATGCTGGGGAAATTGCATTATTACCATCTTTGACCGCTCAAAGTTTGCTTATAGCGCGCAGATAAAGTTTTTGCGCAGTTCGGCTCGGTGGGGGGAGGGGCATAATGCTGACTCCCATCGGTCACTGCCGATGCCTTCCGCGGAGACTTGTATTCCTGCAGAGCTGTGCAATAGCATGAGCTCCGCAGGAATTAACAAGTCTCCGCGAAGGCACTGGCGGTGGCCGATGCTCGTTTACAGATAGCAAAAGTCTACAAGTTCGTCAAGGAAATATGTGTAATTTGAAAGGAACTAGCAAAAGAAACTAGTGAAAGTGCAAAAAGCACCGAGGTTTTGAGAAGGGAGAAGGAGAATTATTGAAACAGTTCACCCCTCTCATCAAGTTGCAGGAAGAAAAAGCCCAGAGCCAACTGCTCATAGAATTGGAGTACACTGTTTCAATAAGTTTTGCAGACTGTGGATAAAGTGAATATCGCGAAAATGCTGGCTATAAAGCTGTCTGGGAGCTTAAGCAGCAATTCCTGAACGTATAGTCCATTGGGGAATGTTTTCGGACAACCATTAGCCTATTCACTTCGTTGAAATTCCAAGTTTTGTACGAAATACGAAGGTCAAAAGATAAGTGCTGTTGCCGCTGACTCCTCCCGAATTGTGAAATGCAAATACGGGTTTTGCTTTCAGGAATGGGGCGATTATAGTAACGTGGTACAGTTCAGGGTGATTTTTTTCCGTAGATGCAGCTATTTATACCCCTTCTTATGTCCTAACGTTTTCAATGCTTCTTATAAATGTGGCATTAGTAATGTTCAGGCACTATTTAGCGGTTACTGTTCTATTTTTCAATATTCGGGTAAGATTCCCTGCTTGGCCAGAAAATGTTCCCCCTTACGAATTCTTAACAACTTAAAGGCAGCGTCCGCGATCAACCAAAGTGAAAAACCCTCCAATGAAAACGAACGCGGAGTACGCAACCACAGCGGAAATCCCACTCTTGCGGCTCGAAATCGATTGGTTGACGAGGGCGGAGTCAACAAGGCTGAGCTGACGCCTCCTTCCTGTTAATCCCGCCCCGACTGGTTAACAGTTATCAGTGCTTGCTGGCATTGATAAACGCTAAGTTTCTGGAGTTCCGAGGCCGGCGACGTGTATTGGAGAACTCACCAAAGGTCTGCGAAACTCGTCCACATGCCTTAAATTTCGTAGGGTCTTATTTCACGCTCTTCCACACCTTTTTCCTACTTTTTTTGATTAGTGCTTCATTGGCCACCTGTTCTAACAAATTTGACCCCTGAGACCTGCCAAAGTCCATCGCGGGCGCTGTCTTTAAACCACGCTTGGGCATTTTGCTCGAAGCCGCCGTGATATCCCTGTTCAGCAGAGTCATCCTACTTCCTGTAACGAGTTTCGGCATCATTTAACCTCAACTGTCTCTCTCTTCGAAACTCGAATCCGATGTTCATGAAATTTTTTCCTGGAGAAGATTTCGCTAGGGCTCCGTCTCCAGGGGTAGGATGATCTCCCGAACAGGAGCGTTTCATCCACTAGGCTGAAAATCATATCACGCCGGCGCCAAAACATCTTTCAGCACCGAAGAGACTGGGACTAGTCTCCAGTGATAACTCGACGTTCTTGCGAAAATCAGGGTTAAAAACCAATCAGGGTTGAAAACGCATAGTATCTGCGCTGCAAGCGGCGGTTTCAGCCTACCTACTAGTGCTGAAGCGTGAAAAGCAGGCACAGGGCCTCTCCGGCTTCGAGTTGGTGTGATATTCGCGTTCGGAAGGCTAAAATCTCTTTGGAGCCAAATTATTGCCCAAATTCCTCGCGATTTCCAATCGAAATGTGATCCGATCTTTTGAATAGTGGGTCATGAATGGTGCAGTGCTTTTTCTTAGCAAAACTAACATTAGGAACAAGATTCGGTAGCAAACTAACCTGAATATGGATAGGTGGGGCTGTAAAGGATGAGTAGTACCATGATCATACATGTAACTAGAAGTCAATAGAGCCGTATTCCAGTTATGCTTTGTTATTTTCCTAAATTTTATCCAGCTTCATTAAGATTTTAAGGACCGACTACCAATTATGCTGGATGAGTGCTTCGAATATTTGCTGGAGAGGAAGAAAAAGGAGGAATCTTTCAGTTTTGAAGTTCGTTTCTGCGACGTATTATCGGCCTTTTATCGCCAACCAATACTGCTAACGAGAAATGTATGAGGTTGTATGATGTTTTTTGTAGCTTTTATTCTTGTTTCAGGTTTTAGTAGTCGATGATGGCAGTACCGATCGCACTGCTGACGTTGCTGCAGATTACGGTCGGAGACATCCTGGTTCATTGAAAGTGCTCAAATTGGAACGGAATCTTGGAAAAGGTGAGGATTTGACTTTCTTTTATTATCACTGTGAAGACTCTTCGTCATGAGATGGTCATACCCTGTTTTATTGGAACACTCTTTTGCCTGGGGGTTGTAGTGCTGATCACAGTTGGCCTTCTCCTCTAGATCACCTTCCTCTGGGGTTTATTCCAAGAGATTGAAGTTGCGGCCAAAGCGCCCAGTTTTCTCACTAGGAGCTAATCGATCGTGCAAGTGCTGCAGTATAACGAGTCAACTATTTATGAAATACTGTATTAGTTTCTGCGCTTCAGCTCACCATGGATCTCCTTAAATACTCCATCTCGCTTTAAGGGCAGGAACTTTCCAGTTAGCTATGCCTCGTGTACCCTGTCACATAGTATCTTGAGAAAAAGGTAACTTATTTTTTTCTCTGCAGGAGGTGCTGTTCGAAGCGGAGTCTTGCACTGTGGTGGAAAGCTGGTCCTATTCGCTGATGCTGATGGCGCTACGAAGTTTTCGGACATAGAAAAGCTGGAGAAAGGCTTATTTCGAATTAGCCGAGGACTGGACGAAACATTTCCCGTTGTCGCTGTTGGATCGAGGTTTGTTCAGCTTATCGATTGCCCAGTAACAAGTGCAATGCATAGGAATGTGAATATCCTATTGTTTGGGAAGGGTCCTTTCGAAGTCGGAAAATCCCGAAAAGGAATGTATACGTATTGAATTGGAAAAAAACTAGATGGAATTTGGTTATTTTTAAGAACTATGCGGGTCTCGGGGAATCGGAAAGTCTACGAGAAGATCTCGATAGTGTCAGTCTACAGTTGGTTCGTATCTACTTTACCTGGCCCATTTGCATGATCGCGGCAACGTGCCGCGATGAGAACGTTCGAGGCGAAAGTGCATCCTGCATAGGGGTGTACCTTATACCTCAGAGAATTCCTTCTCCAGTTCTCCTATTTTCGCAATTCTGCGACTCTACGAGCTAAGGGGAAGGGGGCGCAGAGGCGTGAATGTCCTTCCTACTCTGTAGTTGTCCATTCCGTTCAATGTGCTCAATTTCTAATCATTTATCCTTTAAGAGCTCATTTGGAAGCAGAAGCAACTGCTACACGCTCTCTTTTCCGTAATATCTTGATGCATGGTTTTCATCTGTTAGTTTACCTCTTTTCTTCACGGACTGTTCGTGACACACAGTGTGGATTCAAGCTATTCACCAGAGCAGCAGCGGCTAAGGTTAGCTTGCCATTGTTTTATTTTCCTTGAACGTCACTTTTTATTACAATTTTTCAATTTTTTTCTAATCTGATTCGACTCTAGGTTTTCCCTGTACTGCATGTTGAACGATGGGCTTTTGACGTTGAGCTCATCTACCTGTGTGAGCTGTGGATGGTACCAATAGTAGAGGTGAGATCGTGCTACAGTTCTAGCTGCCTTATTTTGCGCCCTGTAGGCTCTTGTTCGAGGCGGAGACGGTGTAGTGTCAAGTACCGCGGATGTGGACTCCCCAGTCACGGCGAAATAGGCGTTGCAGGCATGGTGGCGTGCGCAGTATTCGCATCAGGACCCATCAAAATGGCAGCAGCGCTTCTCGTCGACTATTTCTCCGTCTCAGGGCACTTGTCAACCGGGAAGCCTCTCTTCTCTTTCCTTTTTTCTTCCTCCTTCCTTCTTTTCCTTCCTCCCTTCTCTGATCCCTCCTCCTTTACCTTCTCCCTTGAAATAGTGGACTGGTAGATGCTTCGAAAAATACCCCTGGACCCTCGCAGCGAGAGCACGTCTGGTTGACAAGTGCCCCGTAACCTTTCTCAAGACTGCGATGTCGCAACTGGGGAGTAACGCTCTACATCCTATTAGCGCTGCTAACCACTCTGCATGCATAGTCTGCAGGTCAAGTCCCAGCGCGGCTCCCGTTGGGAAAACCAAGCCTTCCATACCTACAGGCGCTGATAAAGTGGTAATGGAATCGTAGGGAAATTTGGGAACAGTGGCATACATGACTGATATGCAGTCCTGTTCGCAGCGGATGATGGGGCGTGTCAGGGGGGGGGTGGGTTAGGCACAGCGGCCAGTTTCTTTTTCTTTCGTTCGACGAGCGACAAGACCATGATATCGCTAGTGTCAGTTTTTCACCAGTTGTTGTCTCCTACCAGCTTCAACAGCTGGCGGAGAGCGAACTGGTGGCGCCAAACTCAGCCTCTCTACACGCTTCATAGCAAGCTAGACTGTATCTCATGCATAGTTAAATCGCATTTGAAACGCTACCACAAGCCTGAATGGAAGTGGGATACATTCCGCAGCCCAGAAAGGGTTGATCAGGGCAGAAAGCTTCATCATATCTTATCCTGTTGTTGGCTTCAGATTTCTGTGACATGGCACGAGGTGGAAGGCTCGAAGATAGTTCCAGTTTTATCGTGGCTACAGATGGGAAGAGATTTGATTCTCATTTGGTTCCGGTATCGTTTTGGAATTTGGACGGATACTGTCCAAGAATAATCAATTTAGACTATTCTTTGTTATTGACTGTGATATTGATTTTGCTGGTACTATACAATTCCTGTCCCTTTTCACTTGATGCATATTCTGTGCCGAATATTTTAATGCATCCCCCTACTACTGAGGAATAAATATGTTTCTCCGAAGGTATACGTATTTTTAAACTAGGCTTGTTACGAAGTTATATCTTGATTTTGGCGTGAATATGTGTGTTTTTCACTGTCACTTATGGCTTTATCAGCTGAGTTGTTTTTTCCGGGATATTGATTTTTTTGAGTATGTTGTTACCGATAAAAACTAGTCATTATTCTCTGGTCTTGCCTTATGCTGCTAAACGCCAGTTCCTATATCTGTCCATCATGGGAATTTGCCCTTGCACATTTGACCGCGTAGTTATTTTTTAGATGGGAGGGAAACGCGCATCAAGACTTAAGTCAGAGCCCATGGATACCCAAAGTTTCCACGTTAACGAAATCAAGATGGAGGAGGAACGTGTACTGAATGTGGGTTTGCCTTGTGCAGTGTTTTCTATCGGGTAATGTTTCTAATTTCAGACCTATGACGATGACTTGGACTACGCGCAGGTGCAAGCAGGACCTTTTGATGTAAATAATTATTGCAAGCGAATTGAGGTATGTTGCCCGTTGTTCGTTTTACAAATGGTTAAGTATGAGTAAAACCAGTTTCTAGGTACAAATTGTAAACGATTTGGAAGATGGCATGTCACTTGATTTCGATCTGATCAATGTTGAAGCTCCCATAGCAAATGCACTACGGAGGGTCTTATTGGCAGAGGTAGTTATTAACTTTTTTGCTATTCCTCAACCTCCTCTTAAGGTGTGGTCTTCTCCAGGGCCTGCCCTAGGCAGTTGTCCCGCGTGTGCTAGTCAGCTTTACCCTTCCTGTTCCCGTTCCACATTCATATTGACAGTAGTTTGTTCTAATTTTTCTGAGTCTTATGGACTTATCCAGGCTAGGTAGGAAGAACACCTGACCTTCGTGTTCTTGAAATTCGGAATGATGTCGAATTAAGTTCATTTCTGCGGAACGAGTTAAGTGATGTATACTTTTGACCTATTATTTCAATCTTTTCGGCCTACCTGTCTTCTTCAGAAGCAGATCCCATTAATTTGCCTCTATTAACATCACTGAAACAGGTCTGCGAGCTCACGCTCTAAAAGCTCGATGAAATCTTTGCAGTCGCCGACCAAAAGGGTTCCGTGTAGCAGCCTCCCTCGGCAAGTGCCGCTGAATAGGCGCCGCTGCGACAACTTTGACGCCTACTTACATCTTTCCCCATCATGACATCTAACTATAGTTTTCAGGTCCCCACAATGGCCATAGAGAAAATATATCTGTACCAGAATACTAGCGTCATCCAGGTAAGGCTCCTTCTTCAGGGTTTTCAAAGTTGCTTGCGGTTTCCTTGAATGACCTTTGTGAATGATAGTTTTTGAGGATGAGGTTCTCTGTCATCGACTCGGTCTTCTCCCACTCAAAGTCGATCCGAGGAAGTTCCTCATGCCTACTGAAAAAGGTATGTGCTCTTTCCATAAGATGTAGGGAATGTTCCGTACTATTTGGTTGGTCTAGGGCAGCACTTATGCTATACATAGTAATCAGCTGAAGATTTCTCGGTTACCTGATAATTATTATTAATTTTTTTCAACGTTTCGCTGGATTTCAGGTTATTGGCATTAATGAGCACGGCGTCGACTGTGAGGAAGAGCCGGAGCCAGATCCAACCCGTAATGTTGTTTTTAACATAAATGTTAGTTCTGTCAGTAAATTCGTACCTACTCTTTTATTTGCTGCTCTTGATTGACAACGTTTTGAGGAAGTGCCGTAAACTCTGTTCTGTGGTTAGGTTTAGTGAAAACGAATTTTTCAGGTGACCTGCACCCGAAATCGTAATGCTCCAACTACAGCCACAGAACCGCATCAGCTTTATCATCAGTCCTCGATTTATTCCAGGGCCTTCAAGTGGATTCCATGCGGTGATCAGGTAGAAAATATTCTACATAAAAGTTACCTGCTTAAATTCACGAATCCGACTCTTAATGTTTTTTTCCACAATTTTGTTTCATATAACTTACCTTTTAGACCCAGTCTGGCTCCCAAACTTTCAACTGAATCTCCTACCCTCCGAAAACATAAACTGCTTCCGGTCTCACCTGGGACTGGAAGAAGATCGACTCGTATGTCGGCTGACCACCGGAAGTCATTGTATAGCCTACAAAGCAATACAACTACGCGTTCAATAAGCCCCTCCGACTCTGAATAGAAGCAGAATGTGTGCCTCATCTCAAAAGGATATTGGTCAACTACAAGTAGAAAAATGGCAAAAATGAAGTGAATTGGTCAAAAACCTGCAGAAAAACCTTGTCTTCTATTACATGGCTTAAAAAGCAATTTTGGACGAGTTTCTCGTTTGCATTGTGCCACTATTGTAGATGCGGCTGCATTTATGTACTCACATATCCATGCAGCACCGCAGTTCATATCAGCCCCTTCGCTTCATATTGTACTTCGCAAACGAACACATCGGTCGGACATTGTGGGCGAGCGATCGCGGTGGGCGTCTGGGTCGCTATATTGCAGCTTGATAGGGCGTTCTAAGGTTATCTGCCGTGAGAAAGGGGCCACGCAGCGCCTGCTCTGAGGCGCTGAATTCTATTCTGCTAGGCGTAGGTCCTGTTCTTATCAATCCTGTTCGTCTTAAGGATTTATCGTGCCACTTATATAGGCTACATTTGTTTTGAACGCTTGTGGTATACCAGGCCGCGTTTACACTTTGCTGTGAAGAATCAGCGATTTGGGAGAGTGAAAAAAGGGAATGTATATGTATCGATCGTGGGATATGGCTCACGCGATCAGAGTCAATTTGGCCTTTTACCCGATTCACCAATTCCACAATTTCGCGTAACCTCTTGTTGCGGATGCTGCAGCATATCAGAAGGCTGTTTTCTGCTCGGGGCAACGCCGTTCTCCACTAGTTCTTGTCGCTTGCCCTGCTTCAGCAATTGGTGGATGACTGGCTGGCGCTGCGCTCAACCCAGCCTCCCTGAAGCGCCCCATCATCCGCATTGAGAGGACTGTCGTATCTGAAAAAATTGTTTGGAGCGATTTTCAGCAAGCTCTCCAGCAGCCAGTCAGGTCACTAAAAGTGATTTTGGTACTACCCTATTTTTTTCTTTGCAGGAACAACAGTTTGCTGATGATCCACCTCGCATGGTGCACGACGATATTCTGGTGGCTAAACTCCGGCCAGGACAACAAATAGAAGCCAATTGTCATGCTGTCAAAGGAATTGGGCGTGACCATGCTAAATTCAGTCCAGTAGCCACAGCTACCTATAGGTTCGCTCCAGTGCATTTTCAGAATGCGAAACAATTGTCTCATTAATTTTGTTTCAATTTGAATGCTTCTTCCTTTACCGCATAACTAGTTACAGTCGTGTTCTCTGCAAATGATAGAGCGCGTGGCGCAACTTGCAGTGGAGCGCTTCCAAAGTGGCCTTTCCATCGGCAATGCCATCCAGAGTCCGCTACAAATGCTAGGAAATCTGCCCTGGTTGCAGGCCACGCCCCGCCACTCGTCATATGGTTTGCAGGGATCATGACTGTATGTAGAGAGGGCGGTTCATGCCCTGCTCTGGGTTCTACGCAGACGGATATTCGTTCAGGCTGCTCCCCACAATTCGTCTTCTCGGTGAGGTTCGTGGCGAAGCTGCTATTCGATTACAAGAATCTTTTAGTGAAGGTGTCATTGAACTCAAAGAGAAAGATGGTGAGCCCTAATATCGATTCTGATTCTGTCAATGACTTAATTTGAAAATTTAGGTGAAAAGTTCGCAGTAGTTGCTGATGCACGACGAGATACTTGCAGCCGAAATGTGTTCAGACATGATGATTTAGCGCCTCTTGTGGAACTAGGAAGGAAGAAGGACTATTTCATTTGTGAGTAGGGACTTCTCGCGTCAAGAATGTAACGACAAGGGTGTTTGAGAATTTCTTATCTTACAGTTAGCGTCGAGTCAACAGGAGCTTTGAAATCAGCAGGAGTTGGTTGTGGAGGCATGCAAGGTATGTGTATCTACAGCTATTCTGTGACGTGTAGATGTTTTCTGTGAAGAAAAGGATTTCTTTTAGCATAATCGTAGGAAGGTATCTCTAATGGATTGCTTTTGTCTCATTTTTGCACCCAAATTGATGAGATGTGCGTGTTCGAGGGGGGAGGCGGGAAGGGCCACTGAAGAGATGTTCAACCAACTGAGGGGTCAGAGGTGTTTAAACGAGGCATTTTTTTCACGAGGCATTTTTGCGCCAAGCGAGTTGGGTATTCATATTTGAAGCCAACTTCCTGCTGCTGAAGTTGCAAGTCTTCTCCTGGTGACCACTTTCTTGCTAAATTTACCAACAGCGACAAATTGCGGTCGAAATATGGCCCAAATCCCGAAAAAATGTCATGAAATTCCTCGAGGCAAAAGAAATCTATTTCCCCGGATAAATAAAAGATTTCCAACCATGTCGTATCCTACGTACCTAGTAACTGAAGGAGCATGGATGCGAACAGGCGGGGGCAGGGTAGTCTATCCGGTGGCGCCTGGGTGTCTTCCTCTAACCAAGACTTTCTGGAAATATTTTCGGGAGACTATGACTTCTCAGCCAAACTGCCCCGAATTCACATGAATCGGAGGCAAAACTCGACATGACAATGTCAATTTTTTTTGTTCTTTCAAAGCTCAAATTATTCGGCCTGTTAGGGCAACTCGACTGCCGGGCGCGGCGTCTTTCACCACGCTCCATCAGCGCGGCACATTACGACTGTCTTGTCACATACGCAACTACCCTTGGCGGACTCAGGTCGTCTGGTCTTCAGGATTAGGCCTTGATTAGGGAAAGAATACAGAGGCGCGGAGGTGAGTGCTGCACCCTTCCTCCCTCCCCACTCCCTCAACCTGACTATGTTAGTGTCGGAACGCTACTTAATTAATTTCTGGAGTATAAGCCGCACCTATCCACATAACCGATTGGACGGTTGGCCACGCGTGCGAACAGCAAGGCAACAGCGGCGTAGCTCTTCGTTTCTTCATTTCACAGCGACGGCAGCAGTCGTACGCATAAACTCTTACCTGACTGGGTAGAAAGATGCACAGAAATCAAGCAAAAACGGAATTCTTCCCAATCCTAATCAATGTATTTTAACTAAATTTTTGAACCTTTTCTTTGTAACCTGCTGATTTTACTTGTTCTACATTCTTTTTGGCTTTCTAGGTGATGGAGGAGAAATGCAGATCACTTCGAGAGCAAATAGCGGAGGTGCTTGGACGTAAATGAACTGCAACATTCATGGACTAACTTCTGTTTTGTCTGTTTTGTTATGTCTGTTACTTTCACAGTTTACTGTTTGCATATTTGTCTGTTTTTGTTGTCGATGTGTTGAAATTTATGATATCCTGTTGTCTTTGCGCACATATTTCAGTTTTAGATTAAGTGGTATTGAGTTGGCTATTACTTCAAAAGCTTTGTGAATAGTTGTCATCACATTCTGATCGATGTGATGTTGTTATCAAAAGTTTTTTTTGTTTTGTGAATTAGTGTGAGAGTGTGTAAAAGTGAGCCACTGGTGTTATCCAGTGTGTTGTACTATCTTTTTACCATATTTTTCGTTTTTTTTTTTTTTTGAAAATGAGGGCCTGCGACATTCTACTCTGAATGTGTTGTGGGATGGCGCGCCATCGCGCTCAGTCCGGCATACCTAGCTAGTTTGACTCAAGGATAGCACTTAATCGTCAAATTGAAGGCAGTTGGCACGATAAATCCTTCAAGACGAGTAGGATTAATACGCTTCGGCAGGACGGAATTCCGCGATCCCTGAGCAGGCGCTGCATAATGCCTTTTCCAAAGGAAGGTGCCCTTATAAGGGCCTATCAAGCGAAGAGATTGGTATGAAGCGGCCCTGATGCTGCATGGATATAGGAGTGCACATATGCAGCCGTACCTTCGGTAGCGGTTATTGGCAAGATGCCTACGGGAAACTCGTCCAAAATTGATTTTGAACACACTGAGAACGGAGGCTCTTTCTTCGCAGGATTTTGACCGTTTCACTTTCTTTCGCCATTTCCCCACTATATAGCGCCCTACTAGCATTTTAGGCCGAGCACCAAATCATCGTGCCAACTGCCTTTAAAATGCGATTCCGCAGCTCATAATTATTCAAGCTGTCTGCCATTACCAAAGTAATTTGAATCAGAATACTGTTGGACTGAAGCGGCTTTTTGGTTTGTGCACGATGCCGCACCCTGTACCTTCTGAACTACATCAGGTGCTATGTACTTTCGGTCACATCACATTTGTTACAGGTGTCAAGCTGATAAGTTAGTTTTCCAAATCAACTCACCCCAACCATGGGTATCCCCATGATCCAAGTCTTCATGATCGCCGCTAGGCAGGTGAACATCTGAGAAAACATTCATTTTCCCCATTTTATTATGTATCTCATTTCAAGGTTCATTTCAGATATCAAAGCCAGTGGCAGATGCGGTACTTAAGTATGGCAAAAATCATCCTGGATTTCGGAATAAAATTCTGATTCCTATTGGAAGAGGTGTGTTGCTTGAGGCATTTGCTGGCGGCCAGCTAAGTTGAACTGAGAACTGATTGTTGCGCAGTGCATTTGCCATCAAAAGCTTTTTTCAAAACTGGCTGTCCCCAGAACTTGTGCTGCTAGGTCATAAAGGAAGTTTCCGCGGTTAGACCTCAAATTCCAAACATGCCTTTCCGAATTGCCAAATGTCAACAAATTCCAATCCTCTGTTGCTATCAAAAGGCTTCTTACTATAACAGGCGTGTCTATCTCACGAAATCCGGAGATCTCGTGGCGATGAAATCGGTGAATGTCAATCGCTGAGGTATGTGGAAGATGATGAGTTGCTAGAGAAGCGGTAATCATTGGGGCCCGGTTGTGAAGATGGTGTATGCGAGGTTGTGAAGATGGTGTACGCGAGGAATTTGCGTAGCATAGCCCGTTCAACTTCTTCAGGGGGGGGGGCTTAGGCTACGTAGATCCTAGCGTCGTCGTGGAGTGAAAACGGCCTCTACCTGTTGACAGG